TAGAGAATCATAAAGGAAATTTAAAATACATTTTTGATTAATTTGTTAACTTAAAGAGTATTTAATTTTGAGCCATATTTGTAAAGAAAGGTATTAGTTTTGTTTACCGAACCATAACGTTTTCACTGTCTCAATACAGCAATTCGACAGAAATCATAGGTATTTTATTTTATTAACAGTGATTGTTTTTACATTTATAACTATAACTCGTGGAAAATGAGGGACTTTGGAAAGTCCGTGGTTTTTTCATAGAACTATTAATAATATAATTCAACCTACCAATTTGGTTAATAGAACTTCTGRAAAAGGTGTGTTGGCACAATGGCGCATAGGTACTTACTTTTAACTTTATAAGTAAGCGTACTTAAAGACGAGAAAATCCAAAATCTTCCTCTGCGGGGTTGTCGTGTTAATATAATAATCTATATTATGTTAGTTGGTATGGTTGATGGATTGCTTACCTAAAACAGTGAGCAGCTGTGAGCACGTACTGATCAGTAACGATCGAACCGCCGCAAAAGAACTTCCTCTTGGCGTTCCACAGCGACGTCATCCAAGGATATTCGTTCTCACTGACTTCGCTGCCACCCACGATCCTCGTCCCGGGATATCCAACACCGCACGCTGTGCACAATGCGTAATAATAACGGATTAATGCAACAGTCATAATATTAAAAACATACGACAATAGTTATAGTTCAGATTCATAATTAATAACGCGAAAATGTACACTCAACAATATGTATTCCCTATAAGACAACGTCCTAGTAGTCATTTAGACAGTAGACGATAAAATTCGAAGCTCAACGCCGAAATATTTGTTGTTAAATTTTTTACGAAGAATATGAGATACATATTTTGATTAAATTATCAACTCATCCGCATTTGTTTTCTGTCTTAGYAAATTTGTAACATGGGGACAAACAAACATATTTATGTAATTAAATTAAATTAAATTYTAAGCAATGAATAAGAATGAATTATTTGRAAAAAATAAACGCTTATAAGGTGCTTAAAAATAAAATAAAATGAAGATAAATCATGGCTATAGCTTTTATCTTTGAATCTATGACGTAACGAAACTTGTTTTGCTAGACCTAATTGGCAATATTAACATAATAAGGCGTAGATTTCAAAAATGGGATGTCTTTAGGCCGTTATTAGGAAGAGATTTGAAAAAATCATAAGATCCTCTATAGGATTAACGAATAATTCCATAATACTTACATTAACATACAATACTTGTCGACTGTAGTCCATGTTTATTCTTTTCGACCCCCCCCCCTCACCTCACAAATATTACCAAATGTCTGCATATCATATATATGTATACGTGAGTACCTATACCGTTCTCTTAAGCATAATTATATTATAATAATTGTATGTGTCTCACTGCAAGGTTGACATCTCGAATCCACTGCTCCGCTGTCGGTCCTTTGGCTCCCGTGGCCATATATCTGTATGGGTACAATAAAATTATGTTAACATAGTCGTACAT